TCAGACGTGTGCTCTTCCGATCTCCCCAAAACCCCAAAACCCCAAAACCCCAAAAATGTTTTATTAGAAAATTGAAGATAAGAATAATCTTAAAAATTCTAAAAATTAATTATTTAATGGATAAACAAAAAGGAGATAGTGATGAATACCCTAGAGTATAGAGTGCTAGTATTAACCTTAGTGAATTCAGCAAATTTGATAAATTACGAATCAAACCAGATCGTGAACATGACTCTTCAACTCTTTCCAAAGTACTAGATGTAATTGAATGAGACAAAGACAGAAATTTTTTTCAATAAAATAAAACTTGGAGAAGGAGCTCCAGCAAATCTTACTAATCACAATCAGATGGGAAAAATTCAGTAGTTTTGAAGACAAAGCCAGCAAAGATGACATCTAATATTAGGTAGAAAAAATTCAAGACTAAAGTGATGAGTACAATGGAGTCAAAGAACTTACAATAATCAAAGAGGGGTACTCTCATTGATGGTGATGAACAAAACCTTGATTCCCTTGAAAATTAAATAAAGCATAAAATCAAAGCTGGGTTATATAATTCGTATAAGAATGATCCATTTGTAAATGAAGACTTCATTATTTCGGATAGTTATGTTTAGTTTTCAAGAAAGAGATTTATAAAATTTTTCATCTATCATCTGCTTTACTATTTTTACTTTGGACCATTGATTTACTTTATCCTTTTGCCTTTTGAAAACAAGAATTTTTTATTAAATATGGGATTTATGGGATTTGGTTTAGGGGCTCGCTATCAAATGTTACAATGGTTTCCTTTACTAATAGCATCAGTTATTTTTTACTCGGGGATAGATCATGAGTATATAACACTAACTGAGATAGCTATGGCATATCTCACCATTGTTTTAAGATGTCTAATTGTATCAATTAGATATGCAACTACACTTTAATCAAGAATAGACATGCAGTATAAAAGAATATTCACAGATTAAGAGAATCAGCAAGAATATCTTGGAACTGGCTGGAGAGATATTCATCCTTTATATTTAGATTAGGAAATAAAGCATTCAATGATAAGAAATGAAGTGGAAAACTTTTTTTTCAATTTCAAATTCATCATAAAAATCAATGAAGAGTACAAAGAGAGATTCAACAACTATAATTACTACATAGACCACAAATATGAAGGTGAAAAATAAAAAATATACTTGCTTAAGTTTTATGAAGCTGTTTTATTTGGGTAACAGAATTAGAGTGTAAAGAGAAAGTTTTTAAGTGAAACTATCGATTATATACCTCATAGCATCATAGATATCCATAATAGTTACCATGAAGAGCCTACGAAGGAAGATTTATTTATGCTCTATTCAGGCAGACAAGTCGTCAAGGAGTTTATTCTTGCTTCAAAGCATCTTTCATAATTCCTACATAAAAGAGTATTTACGAGTATTGGCTATATACATGCAGTTCTTCCTTTCATAATAAATCTATTTTTGGATTTACACTTTGATTAATTACCTCAGTAATAACTCTAAATAAAATACAAATCTGCTTGCTTTTGGATTTATACTATAATGCTTGTTGTGGTTAATTCAGTGACCTATTCTGTGAATCAAGAATTTCTTCGAATAGGTATGATCGATATGAAAAGAAGATTATTTTTAATGAGGATTTGCGAGTATATTCTAGAGCCAAATAAACACAAAGTCAAGGGAGTTTTTAAAGTTTTCCCTCTCATCAATTACTTTGATCCTCAAACTCTATTGTCTTGGATGGATATGAGACAAATGCTTCTGGATGTAGGAAAGAGATTTCACATCCGCATTGAACTATACATCTAAATGTACTTGATAGTTTACATATTGATTGCTGCTGTTTATCTGCTCTACTTCTTCTAAATATTTAACTTTTACATGGAAAAAGCAATGGTTGCTATCCTAATATTCGAGATTGTTAATTAGTTCGTTGTACTATATATGAATTTTTACTATGGAGCCTTGATCAATGAAATTTCTAATAACTAACTACTGCGAATTTGTGAATTAAGAAATGTCTTAGAAAGACTAAAAGTTGACTGGGAAAAGATAGTTTGTTGTAGCAGAAATAATGCTGTGATGATGAATAATACATTTAGACTATCTCTTTTGTACTTTGACTTTGTAAGTAAAGACTAAGGACCAGAGAGATGCAAAGAGATTCTAATGGAATCAACAGCTGTTCTTGAGGTAGTCTCATTTAGATTGGAGAAAGAATTATAGCTTAATCCAATTACCATTTTGGGAGTGCCATTAAATACCACGGTTTTAAAGGCTATCTAAACATCTGTGATTTCTCTAATAGCTGCAATGATCAATAAGAAAACCTAACTTTTAAACTGAAATAAAATAAGTCTAAATATTATGCAAATAAAAGCATACATAAAATGTAGAGATTATTTAGAATTAAGCTTTTGTGTAAAATTTATGCTTATAACAAATATTGGTATTAAAGATTGATTACAGGGGTTTTGGGGTTTTGGGG